GGAATGGGAGATTTATTATCTGTAATTATGCACAGTGGGTCGATTCTTCAGGTTTGAACAATATTATGTATCTTTCACACTAGAATAATTAAAATGACAGGTGAGTAAGTGCTTGATAGCTGGACAGAACACAGGAAAACCGTGCCTCACTAACCTGCTGTTGGATAGTAAGCTCTCAGCATTTCCCCAGACATTCTCGTCTCATTTTTTGCTCTCTCTTCTGTTACCTACTTCGATTACTTTATTGACGTTACGTCCGACAAGTTAGGTTTGATCATTTTTCGAAACAAACTGAACAGAACAAATCGAAAACTAGTATGATATGTATCACCTGTAGAATGTTTCTGAATGCTTACTTGGCAGTAAGCGTGACTGACCGTTAAACCAATACTGGCCAAGTCTTGAGCATGCTACCCGAAACATTCGTAGTTTTCCTAAAATTTATATTCGCACCGTTACATAATCTTTCACAGCACCTTTTTATTTTCGGCAAAAAGGTAAATAGAAGAGCTTGTAGATGTTGCTCAACTACTGAAGACCACAAGGAACACAATCTTCCAGTATGACTGTGACTTCCTTCTTGTTCAGTGACTAACAACCTAAAGAAATTTTATTCCCCCAATTCATTAACATCCAAACAATTTGCTTTCTTATACATTTATGGCCTTACTCATGAGTTTTAAGCACCATTTTCCCCTCTTTTTCTTTCGCTTGCTACCTATCCTTCCTATCTCCAAACTGACTATTAACTGATTATATCTGACAATTTGTGCAATTAGTTAACTTATTATCAGTGTGATATGCTACATGGGTACTTAGTCCAACATACGGAAGCGATAGTTATCTGGTTCGCTCGTACCTTGGAGCTAGTAGAGAAAGTTAGTTCCGACAAGTTGTATCAAACTACAGCTTAGATTAAAACTCATTAATAAAAATCTACCGTTAAACAGATGAGAGGCTAACATTAAAAAAGGAAGGAGGGTGGTGTATCTGATTAGCAATTGTGACACTGGGATGATAACCTTAGTCTACTCCTATATGTGTGGCAGAACATTCTGTCGGCTTACGACTGCTTACGATATAGCAACATGTAACTAATAAATGATACTAATAATAATGTTCCTTGTTAACCACGTCTACGACTCATGTTCGTAACCTTGCTTCATAGAATGAAATCCCATTGCAAACAGATCTAGAAAATAATGGTAAAAAGGAGCTCATCCATGACTTCTTGAGCTACAGCGACAAAAAATAAAAGGACTAATAATATCCCCCCTAGAGCATAGGATCACCATGTTTTGTTATGATGTCCAGTAAATAAAGACTTTCTAAAAACTTGTTCTTCCGGATTTCCTGTACTCACTGGATTATTTTCCCATTCTCTACCCCACTACTGACTATTCTTCATTAACCTGCATGATTGCAGATGTCCGGTTAGTGTCCATATTCAGAAGAAGAACTTATTTCATTACTCCTGTTACCCCAATGGAGCACATGCTGCCGACCAGTATTCCAAAACAGACTCTATCCTTGTCTTCCCTTTGAGTTCCGTACGAATTTTGTTGATTCTTATCATGTTTGTTTCCATTTCTCGGTGTGATGTGTTCCTTGGCCTTCCTTTTCCCTCGAACTTGATGGTTCTAAGTTAGGGCTTGTCATGTTGCGCAATTGGGGGCTTTCCTCAGTGTCTGTCCTATCCATCTCAACCCGATTTCCTCCTTCGATGGAATCTGGTTTGTTCCCTCCCACAGTAGATTGTTGCTTTTCGGGTAACTTCCATCTCCAGTGTTCCTGTCAACACAGTTGCCACACGAGCACCGAGTTCAGTCGTCCCCAGTACTCAGATCTCAGATGCTTCAAACTTAAATGGTGTTAATAATCATGTAGCAGTTAAATATACATGAAGCGAGCAAAATGACTGACGAAAAGGTGTGGATATATCTCAACGAAATAATGTTGTCCGCAGAATAACCCCTTTCATGGTGGGAAATCCTTGGCGAATCTAGGGAACATGCACTCTATGTACATGACTGTCTGGATCACAGCTCGTATCAAGCGCGTTCCTTTTGACCTTTCCCAAATAATTCACTACTGTTCTCGGCAAATCGCCTAAAGAACCTATTGTGCACCTTCCTTATTTGTACTCTACTATTGAAAATGTGGCTGTATTATACTGTTTGTGTCAGTGACATGGTGTAAATATGCTATCAGAAACTGACTCTTATACTTAATTTAACTGCTATAACTTTTACAGTAATTGTGGAAGCATTTGAGACGCCTGTAAACTGGCGTGACTCTTGTAACGTAGTTATCTGAGAATAAACAATGAATGAATTCAGGATAAAACGGTAAAAATGAGTAGATTACGTGATATACATAGACCGGAAGTTGAGACAAGCTAAAATTGGAGTGTAGTGCAGTGTAGTTTTAACGAAAAGTCAGACCATCTAGAATCAATTTGAAAGTATAAGCAAAATACGTCAAAACAGGTTTCTAGATAAAGGTACTGAACAAAATCCAATACAGACTGACTGAATCGATCCGGCAATCCAGAAAGTATGTGATATACATGAACCAAATACAATTAACAAAACACTATGTAAACATTGGTGCATCGTCTCTCATGACATATGTTAAGAAGTGCAGGAAAGAAATCCTTATCAGTTTCTGAATGATGTACTGATGAAGAAGATTTCTAGATGAGGTGGATGGTTAAAGTGGAGATTTGTTCATGCAGGTGCAGACGAAGACAGACCTAGGGTTAGTATGAACCATTGAAGATCGAGGTCAACAGAACATGCTACGAGTAATACGTGTAGAAGCTCCAATACTTCCCTTCTGCTCGGAAGAACATCGAAAGCTCCACAACCAAGACATCCAGTTCTGAGAACGGAACATCAGCTCAATAAAATAATGTATATTTTTGACTGTATATGTTTTGAACTTGTAAACGATAAGATGCGTAGGTGTTTCAGTAAAGACATTTGCAGTTTCGAGGGAAAATAATCTTATTTCCCCCGGGGGAATGTGAACTGAGTCAGAAATTCTTGAATGCTTGTGGGTCACAGAATCCAACCACAACATATGAAATTGTATGTGAAAGTTGGACTACAATATCTCACCATTCATGACTGAATATGTTTTGATAGTTTGAGATTGAGGTTGAATGAGATAATCAAGATAGGTTTATAATTCTATGCGTAAGTTCATATAGGTTTTGAATTCGTGAAACAGAGATAATTTTACGATAGTGAACTATGTATGCGGTAAACATGTATGTGTTTCGTTGAAATATTCTTATGTAATTTAAGGAAATTATCTATGCCTATCTGACTGATTCATTTATTAGTGACGGAATTCTGTGTGGACATGTGATTAAGTAGTCCATAATATAAGTGTTTACAAAATTTCAACCCCTTAAACGAGTTTCTTGGAAGCTTGAGTCGCACTTCGTATACTTTAAGGCATACGCTATAATTCATTATGTAATAGTTGTGATGATTGACGTTTTGAAAATATATTCTGCAGACACACGAACTTGGCAATATTATTGGGCTGAATCGACTTTCGAAGAAATAGCTGAACGTTTCAAAGCAGCTCCCTATTTGGGGATGTGCAGCAGCAGGTAAAGAGTGGGTGTTGTTTTCGTATTCAGTAGTCAACTGTCACCGGCAGGATACTAACCGTTTCTGCCCTTTTCAGGAAAGATGGACTTACCAGTTTCCGCCTGCAGATTGTGTACGATCATTTGTGTTTACAGAAGGGACGCTTACTTTACGTTGTACTCAGCAATGAAAATGTTGCTCATTTTCGGGGTTTCGACCGTGACAACTTTAAACTCGAGAATACCCGAAGTGGAATCAAACCAGAAGTCAGAAATGAAAGGGATCAAAAACACGTTATCAGAAAAGCTGCGATGCTGAGAAGTGAGTAATCTAAGAAGAGTTGTTGTTGTGAGGGGATTCGTGGCACTGCGTACTCAATGGTGATCTGGTGCGGATGCATGACCGAGCACTATCGACTAGACCGAACGAGGTCAGAACCAATGTCAAAAGCCAATAGAACTAATTGTTTCGGGACTAGTTTACCGTTGCACATGCTGTTCTAGTTGCCTGGGATAATATCACCCTCTGAATTCAGAATAATTATCACAAACACCAACTGATGTCGAAGTTAGATTTTCAACTGTTTCCCGAAATTGCGCCTGTTACTGCATTTCAGTTGCAGCAGCGTTTTATGGAGTTTAGATATCTCTGAATTTAAAACTAGTACAATGAACATGACTAAAGAATAATTCCAGATTTTCATATCTTTACTTATGATGCAGCAGATTTCAAACCACTCCATGTGTTCTACAAAGACCTCACTTCCTTTAATTGATGGGTGTCCAAAACTGGCCGAATTGTGTTGCCAATGCAGTGATTAGAAACAAAGTATCCCTGTATGATAAGCTGCAATACCCGATTCCATACTTTAGGAGTCACACTTACTTACTTACTTACTTACGCCTGTTATCCCCAATGGAGCATAGGCCGCACACCAGTTTTCTCCAACCAACTCTGTCCTGGACTTCCCTTTCCAATTCTGTCCAGTGTTTGTTCATTCCTCTCATTTCTTTCTCTATTTCTCGACGTAATGTGATCCTTGGTCTTCCTCTTTTCCTTCTGCCTTCTGTATGATAAGCTGCAATACCCGATTCCATACTTTAGGAGTCACAAGTAGACAGCTATTTGGGTCATGACTACACCTACGTGCATTGTGTTCAAAATTCAGACTCGGCATGAGACAGTGAGAGAAGCAACTATCACTTAATACATATGTGGATATTAACGAATCAATTATAAAAGGCTTTTTAAATACTTTACAATTTATACCTCTGGGGAGTTTAAAGACTGTATATATTGTCACATACTACATATAATTCAAGTAAGTTAAAATTTTTCATAAAAAGCCGTGACATAGGCTCTCCTCATTTCTGTACTTTGTATAATGTTGTAGTACTTTTGTTTTAACAGACGAACCGATTGCGCCACTAGGCTTTGGAGGTATTTGGTGGACTGGATTATCGTAATCATGGAGTCGAGAAAAGTTTCGTTGAGTGCTAACGCTCTGATTGGGGGTAAATGGAGACTTGTGCGGAAGATTGGCGGTGGTTCATTTGGCGACATATATCTTGGACAAAATATGCTGACAGGCGATGAAGTTGCAATAAAGTTAGAACCTGTTACAGCCCGACACCCTCAGTTGCTTTACGAGAGCCGAGTTTATCGAGTTTTACAAGTATGCCATATCGATTCCTCAGTAGAATTCTTAGAACTCTTCAGGAGTTCCGCGAGTTTATTGGTTTGGACCTGACGGTGTTAGCAATCGTTACAAAGCCATGGTCATGGATTTACTTGGTCCAAGTCTCGAAGATTTATTTACCTTTTGTGGACGTAGATTTTCAGCGAAAACAGTGCTAACGCTAGCAGAACAGATGTTGTGGCGGATAGAATATGTTCACTACAGAGGTCTTATTCACAGGGACATAAAACCAGACAATTTCCTGATGGGTATCGGTCCACACTGCAACCGAGTCTTCATTGTAGATTTTGGATTAGCCAAAAGATTCAGAGATCACAGAACAAAGTGCCATATTCCTTACAGAGATGACAAAAATTTAACAGGTACAGCACGTTATGCCAGTATAAATGCACATGCTGGCATCGAGCAATCTAGACGCGATGATATTGAGTCACTTGGATATGTTTTCATGTATTTTCTCAGAGGACACCTTCCATGGCAGGGACTAAAGGTACGGTAAAAATTTTTAAACTTATTGTTTAACAGCGTGCTTGGTATGTTATTTTCCGAAACTAAGGATTTTTTTTACGCTCATTAACCTGTCGGCTGTAATGTACTTAGTGTAGGTTACCAATTCAGGTCTGATTCATTGTTGTCGCATTGTACGCAAGCGAATTCCAAAATCCAAATGCTATTAATCCTGGCTTGGCAGAAACTGTACAATTTCGGTTTTATTAGTCTTGCTGCCTGTTGAATCACTCGAAATATCAGTATTGAAACTGTTGAAACCTATAGGTTTTGGCTTCTCAAAGCATTTTAATCATGTGTAGTTTGTATTTATATCAGTGCTTATTGCATTTCAAAATTAGGAAACGGTCCTACCTACAACTGTCCCGTAGGTAGTTCATTAATTTACTTAAGGTTTCAAAACTGCCTACAGCTTGATGAGTTTCTGCTCACTCTGTCTTTGATATATCAAGTTGGCTTAACAGTTTTCAATGACGCGAGTTGGCAAATATCAGTCGAGACTTTGGTATCCATGTTCAGATTTCGTCACACCAAGCCCTCAGCACTGATAACACTCCTGAAATAGACGAACTGCTTAACACTCCCTATCAGTAGTTCAGGTGCTGATGCAACTCAATCCAGAAAAAACACTGCATTTCGATGGATAGAACTACTTATGATGATCAAAAGACTATTTTTTCAGGATCTTCACCAGTAAGAACTAAATCACTAGACACAGACAGACAGACAACGCAAAACTTCGTACGTAAGTACATCAGTTCAGGTTGCCATGCCCCATCGGCACAGAGACGCAGCTGTCAGTTCAAAGAGTGACAGCGATAATAGAAGTATTATCAGTAATGGAGAAGATTGGGGAACGAAGATATGATTCGAGAAGTATAATTCAGTAAGATGAATTTAGAAGGAGAAAGGTAGAGATTATGAGGAATACAGAAGCTTAAAATTTCATAGAACGCAGAGTGGATGCACCTGCGCTATTGAAAACGATTCTGAGCCATATCGTTTAAGGTCTCCAATCATTGGTGACTTTCGTCTCGCGGACCCCAAGCGGGTAGCCTACATCTACCAACATGACTCAGTTCACTTGTCAGTGACTTCGTGGATTTCTGCCATGTTTTAGTTTGGCCTCCCCTAGCTTTCTTCCAATCCACTCCTACACTGCAAAACATAGCTCTTCGAGGCAGTCGGTGGTTAGGCATACGCAACACATGTCCCAACCACCTCAACTGATGAAGTGTCACTACTGCGTCTATTGATCTGCCATTCTTACCTATCACCCGATTCCTAATAACAGCGTTGCTCACTCGGGTGTCCCATGATATACGAGCAATGCTTCGAAGACACCTATGATCGAAAACCAGTAACCAACGAATATCTTCTACTCTCACCGGCCATGTTTCGCACCCATATAAGAGAACGGAGCGAACTGCTGCTCAGTACACTCGTCCTTTAGTCAGCAGACGGATATCTCGGCTACGCCATAAGTGACGCAGGTTGGCAAAAGCCAATCGAGCCTTCTGTATCCGAGCTTAGATTTCGTCAGTCTACCAGCCCATCAGCACTGATGAGACTCCCAAGATAAGTGAAGCGGTCTACACGCTCGACTACTTCACTCCCTATCACCAGTTCAGGTGCCGATGCAACCCAATCTTGAAGCAATATTTCGCACTTCGAGGGTGAGAACGGCACCCCGAACATGCTTGCATTGTTGCTTAGGGTAGACAGAAGACTCTGCATTTTGTCAGCGTCTTCACTAAGTAGGACAATGTCATCGGAATATTCTAAGTCATTAAGCGAGCCACCTAGTAAAAGGTCAACTCCTGAAAATTCAGACGAGGATAAGGTAATTTCTGGGAGCATGTCTATGATAAAATTAAACAAGAATGGAGAGAGTGGACATCCCTGACGGACACCCCTTGAAGTAAAGAATTCCGGTGACAGTTCGCCATAAGCTCTCACTCGACCAGTGATGTTCGAATGACGCGTTTAGGTCCAGGAACACAACTATGGTAGGACGCCTAGATGTGTGTTCCTGTCGTAGTGTGAAGATGTGGTCTATACAACCATGTCCAGGTCGAAAACCAGCCTGGTTTTCTCGAGTTGGCTGTTCACGAGCTTTCGTTGAGCGTCGAAGTATTACTGAGGGTAATATTTCAGATACTATATTAGTTAGACTCATTCCCCTGTGATTGTCACAAGAAGACCTCTTTCCTTTCTTATAAATCGGGACAATAAAAGATTGAGACCAGTCGGATGGGATTATGTCCAGTTCCCAGATTCTACCTAAGATCTCAGTCAATCTAGCTGCTAAAACTGGACCACCATCCTTAAATATCTCAGGGGTCAGTCTATCAGGACCCGCAGCTCGCCCTCGCTTCAGATTTCCTAACGCTTTCTCAACTTTCTTAAGACTAGGGGGACTTAGGTCGATTTGCCATTCAGGATGACTGAAGATCGTGGGTAACCGAAGAGTGGCTCGAGGCCAGTTGAACTGATCCCTAAAGTGTTCTGCCCATCGATCCAGTCTCCTGGATTGAGAATAAATAATAGTCCCGTCATTTTCTGAGATAGTCTCACTTACACTAGGATTCCTAATACCAGTTTCCTTGATAAGTCGGAGAAGTTGTCTACTGTTACCGATCGCCGATGCCTTTTCCATCGCTTTTGCTTTCGCCACCCACCACTGTTCGCGATCGTTACATAGGCTTTTTATAAGTCTGCGCCTAAGTTGACTTCGTTCTTCATCATGTTCAGAGCCAGGTGGGATGAGTTTTCGGGCATCCATCAGATCGGTGGATGCTACTGAGATCCACGGTTTCATTCTAGCCTTATGGTCAACCTTACTAGCAGATATCACTGCTGTTTCCACAGCCTTTTTGATATCATTCCATCCTGCTTCCGGATGGCAATCGCTTAAATGGTCGCCTAACTGTCTTTCTAGTTGTTCCTGAAATATATTCTTCGCCTTATTATCATTAAGTAAAACCCTAAGAGGCTTTCTTACGGTGTCTTTCCTACGCCCAGTAAGCTTCAAACAAATGCGCGCTCGCACTAGGGCATGATCTGAATCTAGACATGTGCTCCAGAACGAGCGACAGTCCTCTATCGAACCCCTCCATCGGTGGCTGATGGCGATGTGATCTAGTTGAGTCCAACGTTGAGACGACTTTGGAGGTCGCCAGGTCAACAGATGTTTTTCCTTATGCCTAAAGTTAGTGTTTGCTAAGAATAGGCGGTTGTCTGAGCATGCTTGCAACAGACGGTCACCATTGTCTGTTCTCTGGGCCGCGACACCATAACATCCACCTAGGTGTCTCTCCTGCTCACTTAGTCTACCTTTTTTAGCATTAAAGTCACCAGCCATTATTACTATATCAGATCGCCTAGCTTTTTGGAGGAGGTTCGAATGCTTTTGGTAAAACTCATTTTTATGCATCGTCTGAACTGCAGTCAGTGAGGGCATAGGCAGATATGACGAAGAGGCAACGGCAAGTGTCCCTATCTTTCCCGAGTCCTTATTGTCCCGTTTGGTCGGACAGCGCACAAGCGACTATCTACTGGGATCCAGTCAAGGAGAGATTGTTCAGCTCTACGACTCAATGCTATGTCTACGCCAGCAAGATCCCTGGAAGCAGCATCAGGGCTTCCAGATACACGTAGAGTAAATCGAGCTGTTTCTTTATTTTGTCAAGGTAAAATCAGATTAATAATTTTACTAGGATCCTGTATGAGCGTTTCCGAAAGACAGCATACATCGATGGCATGAGATTCTAAAGTCGTAGCTAAGGAAGCCTGTTGCCCTATTTGACACAATGTCCGTACATTAAAAGCTCCAACATGTAATCTAGAACGGGGTTTTAAGAGACCAGGAATGACGTTTCGTGTACCGGCTTCGTCTGCATTAGCGGTGCAGTGAGAAAAGGGACTGAGTAGAGTTAGTTGTGGAGAGAAGAGAGGTATATGTGGGTGTAGGAAGGATTTGGTTTCGACCAGTTTGGTCTCGTGTGCTGTTACGGGTATGAGGGCGGTTGTCACTTCCCGGCTGCCCACACCGTGGAAGGGTGTTTCTTGAGGGACAACTGCTTGAGGCCGGTCGCGCACGTCCTTTATGAAAGGATTTTTGAGTATTAGCTCCGCTCTTAAAAGCCCTTAGTGGGCACCCTTACCGCCGGAGACGGAAACCCGTGAGGTGTGACATTTTCAGGGTCGACCTTTTCTAACCCTTCCTTACTTCTGATGCTGGTTGTCCGAGGGATACACCTTACTGCTGTCACACCCCTCTGCAGTCGGCAGTACCACTTCACCCTCAGACCCTGGGTAGCTGCTTTTAGTCTCATCGTTCTCCAATCAACCTGCCTGGCATGCTAGAACCTTCAGGAACATATGTTCCAGCCAATATAGCTCGGTTGGGCCATCACGATAGGTAAACCCGACCACCACGTCAAGGTAGCAGCTACGGTCGGGAAAATGATTGGATGCCTCAACCTATATAATTCATCAGTCACGTATATTGTTAACGACAGCTGTAAAATACGCTCTGAACTTGAACTAATGTAATCATATTTGAGACCCTGGTTACACGTCAAATTCCTGAGCAGGGTTGTTTACCAAGTTTGTGTTTTGTAAATTTTAGTTTTTGAAAGCCAAATTTATGGTGTATTTTCAGTCCATCTTTCTTACAAAACTGGAAAGTTTAAAAAAATAATAGGTTTCTAAATCAGTATATTCACAGCAAGAGTCGGTGGTCTGTAAAAACGATATTTTGATTTGTCAAACGATTTGAGTGTGCAGACGGATCTTAAAGGTTTTAAGTTTCTCATGAAATTTTCTTAGAAACTTTCTTTTTTTCTTTTCTTTTTGAACTCGGTTTTCTGAATATTTAGTGCCATTTTACTCATCATTTCCATGCTGCTGATTATGGTTTTTTCACTGTATTTCGATCGCTACATCTGGTATCCATGCTCATATAAACTGGTTCTGAATTCATAACTCAATGATTGTGGTTATGCTGTTCATCGGACGAACTTCCATGTGACAACCAAGTTGCTTGGTTTCTATGAGTCTGTTTAGGGAAGTACAACTACGAGTTTCCTTAAGCTTAACTGATTACGGAAAATCAAACTACTGAAATAATATAGTATTTAAACATAACTAAGCGATCTCTGTCTACGTGGCAATAATAAATATATCGATTTGTGACCTATCTTAGGGTTTTATGTAAGTCATATGTAGCTTTTGTATGTGTGTAGTTTTATAAAATTCCTTTTCGTCTTAGTATTATTCATTGTAATTATATCAGGTATTCATGTGGTGTTTTTGTGCTAATCATTGTGCTAAATTTCCTAGGCGAATACTAAAAAGCAAAAATATGAACGTATATATGAAAAGAAACTAGCTACGTCACCTGAAGCTCTATGTAAGGGTTACCCTGTTGAATTCGAAAAATATTTACATTTCGCCCGTGGTTTAGCTTTCGACAGTCTTCCGGATTACGCATTCCTAAGAGGGATTTTCCGCCGTTTGTTTCGAAGCCTCAATTTTGTTCTGGATTATGTTTATGATTGGGCACTTCTGGGTACAAACTCTTCTAATACTAACCAGTCAATACTTAATTCCAACCCAGAGTGTGAAGACAATGTGAATCAGCATCAAAATAACGCAGAATGTCAAGGAGTCGATAATACGGTGGGGGCAGCGCAGTGTGCTCTTCCAGCACCTCAAGTATATGGGAATCATAACCACCATAATATACCTCTTCAGCAATCACAGCCTCAGCAAGTGCTGCCACATACACATGGTCGTGAAGGAGTTCAACAATCAACTTTTCATTCCCAATTTGTTAATCAATCTGGGAATTCTGGCACCCAAACTAGTGCGTATAATGCTCCTGGCACAAGTGTAGAGTATGGTATGCGTTGTTTGCCCACAGAAATTCGCCGCTGATTCCTGGATTACTAATAAATACATCCATTTTCAGTTCATGATGCTTGGAGATACTAAACCTCATGCTGCTAAATTTTATTTCTATTATCAGTAATACGACTGTTCAATTGTTTACGCAATTAATATCGTAATTTCCTTGTGAATAATATGTAGATTCCCACAATGTTCTCATGCGCTTTCTCTACCTCTCATCCTCACTCAATGTTTTACCAAATTAATTTAATTTTGGTGTTTAAACCAAACGTTTACTGAATGTTATCACGTTTCTGTGAAATTAACATGCTCAAACAGAGCGCTATCTTCTTTTTTTAACTTGCTTGACCGTACTTAGTTGTATTCCGGTGTTCACTTTGAACAAGATGTCTTGCACTTCATTGTTCTATTAGTATACTAAATGAAGCTTAGTGCATACTTTTTTGCTTGTATGGTTTCATGCTGTAGAAAAATATCAAGCAAATCTTGTAGTCAGTGGTTCTCAATATTAATCAAGTTCTTCGGAACTGACATCATTTTCTGTCAAAGTATTTTGGGACAAATAGTCAATCAAATCACTTGTCAATATTTGTTGTGTTCGATCATTTTTGTGATACGCAATACGCATGACTTTATCTGGTGATGCAGCCCTCGTCCGAATATATAAAATCTAAATATTCAGGAACCCCCCGACCCTCATGTAACTAAAACGTTTGTCGATACGATAGGTTAAACTCATCACTCAAGTCACACTGAAATTATATATTAGCCACATTCAGCGATACAGTCTGTTCATTGTGCAACAAATTTCTTTGTTTTGATGTTTGATTTTCAAATGGCTCTGACGAATTCCGCTCGCCAATAACTACTGCTTATATGTTAGTAGGTTGTTTACCTTGTGGAAATCAGAGATTTTGCTGTCTATTTAGGCTGCAACATTGCTGATGCAGTACGCTAACATGCACAACTAATTTTTGTAACAGTATTCGGATAATTTAGAGACATATTAACTTAAATCGATAGATGAGATCAAGCTGCATGTAGTAGATTGAGGCTTCAGCGAGTCCATGCTCACGGCTTCTGTGATATTACTTCAGCTTTCGAAGCTCAGATACACATCGCAAACGAGAATGTCCAAAGATTGCTTATTGTGGAAATATTGTCCAAACTCGACCCCCGAAAACGCGAACCTAACATTAATCGACGCAATTACTTATTGTATCATCTTTAATATTCTTAGCCTTATTATTACAGAAAATGTCCCTCTTTTGGTTTGTTTACTAGATTACAGTCATGTTTTAAATGGAGCAATTTTGTGCTTTCATTCTGAACCTACTATTTCACTACTGAAACAGTTCTACTTGGTGACGACGCTGACAAAATGCAGATTGTTCTGATCACCCTAAATAACCATACAAGCATGTTTGGGATGCGATTCTCTTCATCAAAATGCAAAATGTTGCTTCTGAATCGCGTTGCATCAGCACCTAAACTACTGACAGGCAGTGAAGTAGTTGAGCATGTTAACCAGTTCACTTATCTCAGGAGTCTCATCAGTGCTGATGGCCTGAAGTGTGACGAAATCTATTGTCTTTCGCCAACTTGCGTCACTTATGACGTAGGAGGGATATCCGTTTGCTAACCAAATGACGAGTGTACTGTGCAGCAGTTCGCTCCGTCCTAATATATGGATGCGAAACATGGCAGGTAAGAGGATATTCGTAGGTTACTAGTATTCGATCATAGATGTCTTGAAAGCATTGCTCGCGTGTCGTGGGAAAACCAAGTAGGTAATGCTGTCGTTAGGAAACGTGTACTAGGTCGAGATGGCAGTTCAATAGATGAAGTATTGAAACTTCTTCAGTTGAGGTGGTTGTGAAATGTGTTGCGTATGCCTAACCACGGACTGCTGCGTCGGGCGATGTTTAGCGACGTATTGGTAAGTTGAAAGAAGGCTACGGGCGACTAGACCAAAACATTGCACAAATCCATGAAGTCACTGACAACTGGATTGAGTCATGTTGATGGGTGTCGACTACCTGGTTGGGGCCCGCGAGATGATAGCCATTGATACTTAGAGATCCTGAATGACATGACTCAAAATCGTTTGCGATGGCGCCGGTGCATCCACTGTTTGTGTTCTCTCTAGTCCTAATCTATTTTTTTCTCCATTTATAACTGATTCCTGTGGGGTGTACATCTCGAATAATATATTCGATCACTAATTTTTTGATTACTGCTATTACTTCTACTACTATGGGATTAGAATTGACAATCGCGTCTCTGTGCTAACATGATATGGCATCTTGGACTGATGTACATATGCGTACAAACGCCATGTGACAGCGAGGAAAATGATGCACTAAAGGTCTTGATTTCAAAAAAATATATTTGACCGTACTACAGAAACTTGACATGTTAAATTTTAATAAAATATATATGAACATATTGTTTCAGTTTTGAAAACGATAAACGTTGAAATATTTGTTGATTATGGGAATCAAGATTAGTACGAAATAAACTTCTGAAATTTTCCACATAATAGTTATTTGGATCATAAAAAGCCTTCATATTTATTGCAGTACATTCATTTCAGTGCCACGTTTCGGATACTAGTGCAGTTTTATTGTGGTCGTGTGTTATATCGTTCGTTAATGTAGCGTATAAACCAACCGGTAAAGGTTTCGATTTAATTGGGGGGTTCAAGACTGATCGATGCTGACCTTGAAACGGTATACAAAGCAGGTGGACAAAAAGTAACGATGTGGTGTCACCCGCATCTGGTTCCAAGTGGTCGATCGAGTGAGTCGCGATGCACGAAAGGCTGTCTATTCAGTATTAAGGCTCAGATATATATTTGTTGCGAATTAGGATGTCAGGTGATTGCTTATGGTGGCAATATAATATAAGTGTAACCATTCGAATACACGAGCAAAGAATTAACATATGCCATGCATTTCATATTCTCAGCCATATCATTACTAAGGCATTTTTGTATCTACTACTTTCATAGATTTTCTGAACTGGAATTAATGCATGATATGTCATCCAAATATTTCAGACAGTTGGTGGACATCGCCCTTTTTAATGCACGTGCTCGTTCCAAACGGTATTAAAATGTATAATGAAAATAAAGAAAATCATCTTGAACTATTCAGGTGGGGATTTTAATACATCTTATATTTCGGACTTCATGAATTATGTCATAAATGATAAAATTGTTTTCGGAGCAGTATGGATGAAACTTGTTTGGTCGTTTAAATGTAGATAACGTCATTCTATTCCAGCACTGTTGTTACGCGTAGGAGCTTGTGGTAAATAATGTGCTTGAAAGAATTGTGGGCACCAAACTTGTAGGCAGTTACTACTTAGTGTATGTTAGGTCATAAAGCATAATATATTTATGCTATGGCTATATAAAATTCGGCCAAGCACAAGTTCGGTATAGTGGATATATTTGTCGCAATTTTGGAGCGAGAAAGCGTTGCCTTATTTTTTCAACAAAACCAAACTCACAATATGAGTGCAATGATGAATATTTATTCTTTGAAAGTAGAAGGGTGAAAAATTATTCAAAGAATGATCGTTCATTGGAATGAGATAACGTAGTCTTATTTAACGGTATCCACGCTAGCCTTCTGTTAGGAACCTCATTAGGAAGATTGTGAGCGGAGTACGTTACTCATCAACACAAAATTTTGATAGTGAATGAAATGTTTCGGTAAGTGTAAATGATAGTAGGGTACCAAGTACATATCCCTGCTATCTGTAGATGAACTCGGTTTCTTGTAATTAATCATTCAGGCTGACGAATAAATCATGGGTCGCTTTTTATATGAGTTAACATAATGTTGTCCCTACCTAGTGATCAGTACGCAATGTAGATAAGGAAGTTTATTCTTAAATGTTACTTTGAGTGCTGGTGTAGACTTTCTGTGTGCTTATTAAAACAGATCATCATTATCGATAAGGGATTCCAGATAACCGAATTAGCTGGCATTATTTTTTAAAATGATGATAATTTGGCAACCTCGTCACGTTTAGTAGAAAAAGTCAAATACAAAAGTCGAAAAGCATTCCAATATTCTTAACACGAGCTAGTATAAACCCATCGATTTTGCCTTCGGGTCTTGTTCTTTCGGTACAGTTCTAGGTATTTGGTAGTGTCCAGTGGATGGTAGTCTAGCAAATTGACTTGACTAATTCTAGTCAGATGGTGGCTACTTATGGATTTGTATGTCGCGTGACTGGAATGAGTATGTTTGTTTCAGGCTTCTGGATACCAGCAAATATCACGCTACCAGTGGAGAATAATAGGGAGAAAATTCTAATGCTAGTAAGATTTCCGAGCTCCGTAAATAGATAGGTAAATGACTTAATTAATTGGCAGTGAAGATTGTGAGAGAGGAACGAAATGTAAGCGCGAAAGATGAAGTTAGTGGTCTGAGGAAGTGGCAATTATAGATAGTCTCAAGACATGCATCAGGCACAGCTGGTCCAAGAGAAAGATGCACAGGTGAGCGCGTGTTTATCTAGTCTCTTCTCGGAGCTATAGCTCCCTCTGCTCGGAGATTACCCCAAGCTGCAACAGGTTCGCACGAACCCGGGTGTTTGCTTTTTGACGCGCAATTTTTCGAGGATTACCTCGTGGGGGTGTGGTGGTGATGCTTTTGTAAGACGCTCATTTTGGGATGATTTGGCGTGGTTAATATGTTGTACGCAATTATCAAATCACCTCTCATTCTCCTGTGACTTGCAGAGAATAGTCCCAAATGCTAGTCTATCACTGTGACGTTTTTTCTTCAAACCTATCACCCATGTAACTGCTCACCTCTGCACCCGATCTCGGAAATTTGTCTCCTTTAAGGAGAGGTTGCGAAGACGTTTTGAACCTCAAGGTGTGGGCGTGCGTATACTTTAAAGTGTGGGTTGATTGCTAAGCTTTCTTTGCATAAAGTGTAGAGTTGCGTTAGCCTAGGCTGCGTCACTTATGTAGTTCGAACTGGTGTCGAAGATTCCAGTGGTTATTAAACTGAGACCTCACTTTGAGGAGACATTAAGGAGCGGACTTCCATCGAGGACGTAAGTCGATACCTATTATACATTATTATATACTTATTGTTTGGGAGTTCATACATACGGTTGCATTGTACGCGATTGATGGAATTTATTTAGAAGCTCTAACTGAATTTTATCACTACTTTCTTCTGTTAACAGAAAAATCTTTGTAAAATAGGTGACCTCACAGTGTCAGCCTGCACACGTCAATCACCTCAGGAAAAGACTTTTCATTCCTTGTTGTCTCATTCTGTTGCGATGCTTTGGGTTTAAAATTTGATTGTATTTTGTAACGGAAAGTCACTTATGCACTTATTACAAAAACCTAATCCAAAAGGACGAAAAAATGTGATTTTTTGTCAAAAAATACACTAAAAATAAATTTTGATTCGAAAACCTCAGGTATATCTGGATGTTTTGGTTCACCTAACCTTTCTGATAGCATGTATAGAATTCTCTCTGTGACTTGTTGATTCCTGCAAGTATCGTGTCAGATAGACGGTCTAATACCATAGATGGCTGTTCATTAATCAAATAAACCGGTTTTATCCCATCAGTACTTTTCATGTCTTCGAACTTACTTACATACACTTGTCACCCCCAATGGAGCATAGGCTAACGACCATTATTCTTCAACCCACTCTGTCCTAGGCCTTCCTTTACATTTTTTCCCAACCCCTATTAAGATTCTCTGCGCTTTGAGATCTTTTGTCCATGTATTTGCGTTTGGCCCTAAGGATTCAATCATGGGCTTCCTTGTGACAAAGTTGGGTGCTTTCTGCATTTTTCCTAATTTTTTAGTCTGCAGGAATCAGGTCTGTTCACTTCCACAGTAGGTTGTTGCTCATGGTTTCTGGACAAAAAACACTCAATATCTTGCGTAGATAGCTGTTAACAAATAATTGTATCATCCGGACGATGGCTTTCATGGTTTTCCAAGTTTACGCCCTAAATGGTAGAACTGCCTTGCAGTTTCTGTGGGAAATTGACTTTCGTGTCGGCCGATAGTTGTTTTGATTTCCAAATGTTCTTCACTTGCAGAAGTGATGCGCTTGCTTTGCCGACCCGAGTCATTAGCTTGGCGTATGACCCACTTTACCTATCAGCAATGCTAATCAGGTCCGTAGAGTTTACTACATCTTACAAAGCTTTTCCGTCCAGTAAGATTAGGTTGGTGCATGTTGCGTAGTATCGGAAGACCTTGAGGTCTCATTTGTGTATGTTGAGGCCTAGAGATATTGCGAAAGTTGCACCAACTATTTTCACCCAGTTCTGAATGAAAACTTTGGCTTTGAAGTGATTGTTGTTATATATAATTACTCGTCTACCACAATAGTCTTTCACTGTGTCGATTATCGGCTACTTACTCTTGATTTGTCATCCAAGCACTAGTAAAGTTAAGACCAAATTCGACGCCTTGTAATGAGTGTGCTACTATGCTGGGGCCAAATGACTTTTTTCACCGAGTTACCATTCGCACGTCTTTGACTCTGTCAGTTACTCGCTTATATCTTGGTTGTTTTTGCTTGAGTCACATGCCTGGCCTATTTTGCCTGACTGTCACGGCTCATCAAATTCAGTTGACTCACTCGCCTCCATTTCGCTGTGTACTCCCTCATGCATGCTTGTGTGGATGATTGCCTGAAATAAACTCCTCCAACTGATTCCGTATTCGGCTTCTTACTACTGCTGTCGCACAAACGGTATTCGCCTAAGCGCGATATAGGAAAATTTGAGGGAAGACTTATTTCATAGAATACCGAATCGGAATCAGATCGTGGACCACTGAACCCTTTTCAATAGACCTAAGTCGACGAGTTAAGACTTAGCAATAATATCAATAAACTGATAATGTAACTAGATAAACAATTACCTTGTAAATCAACCAGATATTAAAATAGAGAAAGAGATATTTCTTAACTAACTACATGAAGAACTATGGTGAGTAGCAATACAGTAAAGCATTTTATGTTGTGTTTAAATCCGATGTAATAATACAATACAATTTCATACCATGTAATTCAAATTCCAGTTCTTACTTGGGAATTATCGAAGTTCTGAATATATTGGGATTATTAGTATGTTTTTAGATTATTCCAAATCCACATCTTGAGTCGCTATACAAATGAATTCAAGATGCCTTCGGAAATTTACTATCAATGTGTCACCATGGGAAGTAGAAGATTGTTTAGTGTTTTGATGCTTGGTATCTGTCACATAACAAAGACGGAGATCGCGCACCAGCCAGTCTTAAAAATGTTATTGGTTGAGAAGCCTATAGTTTGTTAGAGAACCTAGTCTATTTCCCTGAAAAAAGCTCAAAAGATTGCTTACTGATCATTTTCACGTAATAACATTCGAAATATGTAAAAGAGCACAATTCAACTAACTGGTCCGTGCTCCGACTCAAACAATTAGAGATTTCATACCACGGCTCCAGACGCAAGCTTCTAAGTGCAATTTATCTGAACAGCCGCAAACCCAACTTCGTGACCGCCCGGTTACTGGAATAAATGACCATAAATTATAAAGGCAGCCGATACAAATTCCTTTCTGAACTTCTCAGGAAGCCAAACACCTGTGTTTAAATTATGAAGATGTTAATCAAGACCCTTCTGATGTTTTTAAGAAATAATATGATATATTACTCCTGAGCAATGCAGTCCTATCAACAGGTTTCTGTATTCCCCAAGAAGAGCTTATTTCCTCTTAATCGAATTTTGCAGTATATTTGGACCGAAGCCTATTTTATACTGCTTTCTAGTAACCACCATAGAAATATTTATTACTCTCGCAGTGAGCTCTGAATCCAAAAGGTGTAGGTTCACACGCGTCTCGCCCAGTCCAAGTCTAATAATGACAAATCTGGGAAGACACGGTTCTTTTTTTAATAAAAACAGGAAATACAGACAATTACCAAAACAATATTACAACACTTTCGAGTTTCTAATCACAACATTAAGTTTCGATACTGGAAGAATAAGTGCTTCCAATTAGCTGGATGACGTTCATTGTGCTTTCCTCTTTCTTTGTTTTGAAGGATGCTTTAATGATCCTGTGTCCATGAGATTCCCATCCTATCAGTGCCTTTTGTGCTTGTTTGGACAGCATCAGTGCAACTCATTGTATATGTGAAGCATTTTCCTCTTCATGACCAGAGTATAACAGCAGTTCCCCTGAAGCCAGTCTCAGTTGTCCTACCTGCATCCACTGCGTTTCACTGATGCCGAGCACCTCGAGGTTGTATCTTTTCATTTCTGCCACAACTTGAAATAGTCTTCCAGTCTCCAACAATGTACGAACGTTCCATGTACTTAAAAGAATGGTTGTTCTGGTCGTCAGAAGAGGCATTGGCCCCGTGACTTCCGATGGGACTCGGCTTTCATCACGCGACGTCATAATTCTTCTTCCAACTCCCAGGGCAGAGTAAAAATGGTTTGAATTATTTGTTCTGGTTAGCGTTTTTTTGGCAAGTTAGTTTTTAGTTGAGATGGGGGCGCCAACCCCTCCTCCTTTATCCGGGCTTGGGACCGGCAGTAGCCCCGAAAGGACTACAGGCGGAGTTTACGTATACATACATTTACGCTTATTCTTTTTCACATTTTATAATAGACTTTTGGCTACACCAGCTCTTGAGCCTCGGCGAAACCTGTCGATGGAGAAGCAGTTCAATCGACACCATGGGGCAAAAAGACGATCGTTCACAGTGGGCCAGAAAGTACTTGCTATGGACTATCGTGGAAAACATCCTGCTTGGACAGCTGGTCGGATTTTAAAAAAGAAAGGGAATGTGACTTATGAGGTGTCAGTTGGCTCAGAAGTTTGGGTACGTCATGCTAACCAACTGAAAGCAACTTCGATAGCCAGCAACGGGACTCGGCACCGAATACCCCTCGACGTTCTGCTGGACACCTTCAAAATCAAAACGCCTGGAACACACAAGTCAGTTTCTGTGCAAGCAAAGAGTGACACAGCTTCGTTATTGCCGAGAAGATGGAGTAACCGAAAGTACAAGCCAGTCACTCGGTTGCAGTTGGACCTTAGCACCAGATCCTATGAATCTTCTCAAAGGGGAGGTGTTAGTGGGACATAGATGGATTTAAAGCATGATTACGTCACTACGCGCTGATTGGCTAATTTCCTACCCAATCAGCGCCTGATCGAAGCTTGGAGAACAGGATAGAAAATTCTCGTATTATTAGCTGCATGCTGATTGGTCAAATCAAGCCCAGTCAATCACGTGAATTTTCTTCCAGAAGTTTTCTCATGTAAAGGCTATAAATAGACTAGCATTGTATTTATCTTAGCCTTCTTAGCCTTCTAGCCTTCTTCGCTTTCAAGCCTTTTAGCCTTGGCTTTCGCCATCACCTCCAGCTTCTTTTCCTTGCTATTTTGGAATACAATCCTTCCTGTTCAACCGTGTTCTGATTTGTGTTACTTGTCCAGTGTCTTGTGTCAAGAATACTAAGCAATAAGATTTAGCCGGGAAATATCGTAAGCAACCGTAACAACACAGTTGGACACGATCTCAGATCTCATCGAAGATTCTTATGTTTTATCATCAGATGTTAACAGCTATATTTCCCAAACATTCAACAAGATAACGGAATACAAACTAAGTATGCTATGAATATAAGTTACATTTTAGTAGCAGAAAACCAGCGGTCACCTACATCAACGTTCGAAACCACACTGAAGATTTAAGACTGACGGATTAAGAACAACAGCAAAGTAGTAAAATAACCACAATTCTCTAAAAATTGGTTTCCTTGAAATAAACAATAGTCGCATTGATGGTCAAAACATTCCACGCAGCATTACTTAGGTCAAAAACACTATTAGCAAATGTTTATAGTTCACCAGCTACAAGTATATAAATGGGTATTCTGCAAAAAGCCTATTCAAATTGCTTATCATAAAAATTGTCTATGAAGACGGCACCACTTAACTCAAATTTACAATAGCACATGGAAGAGAAACGATTCAACACAAAAAAAATGATAACTTGTTTTCAAGAGAAAATTATGTTGATCAAGTAACGTTGATAGTTGTAACTTAGTCTGAAATGGTTAGTGAACTGATTCTATCTACAGAAGACCAAACATAAACTGAGCCATTTCCAGAACCAACAACCAAAACATCGTTGTGATATTCCAGCTAGAAAAAAAATTAGAAATATCATTTTGGTAAAAAGACTATCAACAATCGTTTAAAAATTCATTATATTAGTAATGGTAATTCGTTTTTCAATTACTGAAATAGGAACGAATTGTGGCAAATTTTTTTCAGCCACCAAGGCAAAGTGATTTCAGAACATAACAACATGATGTGCCTGGAACGACTAATCATTTATTTTGAGTAACTTATTACAATTAAATAGTTAAAACCATGCTAGTTTATGATCGGGAATCCAGAAGAGAACTAAGTTAAAGAAACTATTCTGGATTATCATCTTCTGTTTGTAAAAGTAATGCTAATAATTACTAAAATTATCGTTAGAAAAGCATAATTATCCTCAAAATGCAATTCGCAGACTAAGCTGAGAAAGTATTAAAAAACTGAGTAAATTGACATTAATTAGAATTACACATATTTTTGAAGACCTAAAAATATGCCATAATCAGAAACATACAACAAAAGTACCAATATGGAAAGAAGCAATGTTATAGAAGAAAATGATAAAAACACAGCTTTCTAGTATTAAAAATAACATGAATTGTCAGATTGAAAAGTGGTCGGTAAAGGCCAATATACGAATAGATATTTTGTGCAGACGATGAACTACATGTTAGTGTGCATAATGCTAATCATAGCCCAATGACAGTCTATTACATACTAGTTACTTTGTTTGAAAATTTTACAATATTCGTTGGTAAACAAACTAAGTTTTTGAAACAGATTTTTGGAAAAAACTCGTGCTACCCTGTAGAATAGTTTTCAAGACAAGGAGTTGGGTACTAGTACACGTTACTAACTCGCTTTTGACCAGATACAGAAGGACCGTCAACAGATCTGTGCACTTGGTTGGTTGACACCGATTAGAACAAGTGGTTTACTGGTTGAATGCATAATGTTTAAATCAACCCAGTGTGAGGCACCACAAAATTTTCATGTGATATCATATAAAATAAGCAATAACTTGAGTATTCTTGAAGCAAAGAAACTGAGGAAGAAGATGGAGTAATGAGTAAACGATCATATGATATAAATACTTAATATTCATTTTTATTCGCTGATAATTTCCTAAACGAAGGCCGGGTGCAGAATTTCATTAGTTATCATCAATAAGTACACTCAGAAAACCATAATAAGAAATTGTATAGCAAAAAATTTGATCAACCTAAGAAGATATAGGGGACATAAGAGGGCTCGCGGATAATTAATATTTTCAATATATCGGACATATTGTCGTAGTTCATGGATTTCTAAAGGATACACTGAAAATTGACAATAAGAGATACTTAAAGCCAATAGGCTGACAGTTCACCATTGATTCTAAATAGTTTAGTTATTAAGGCAAATCATTATGTGATATTATCAGGGATTATAATAACATATTGAACAATAATCTGTTAGCGTCGATAAACTCAGTCTGGAGCCTCTCTGGGGCTACTGTCAGTCTCAAGCGCAGAAAAAAGGAGGAGGGTTGAGTACGGAGTTAGCAAACCCGTCCCGTAAAAAAACTAACTAGCTCAAAAAACTCTAACCAGGAAAAATAATTCAAACAGGTAAGTCGATAAACAGAGGGCAAATCCTATATATAAACCTGTAATTACTCTTAACGACAACAGCCGAATAGATAATAAAACTGTGACAAAAAGATGATCGTTTTAGAAAACAAATGGATTATCTTCGTTTTCTAATAATAATAATAATATTAATAAGCGAACCATATTCAGTCTAATAGTCCTTAAAATGATCTTTGATGCACTGGAATTATGCGAAACATACCATAACTTCTTAGTCGAAATGAAAGTTAGTAATTCGAGTTGTTGGAATTTTATCGACTTAGGAATATAAAACAAATAGTTAGGTGGATGAAATAGTTTTAGGACACAATACTGACAAGCCAACCAACAACTAATAATTAGCGCTACTCTGATCAATAAGGGGCAAACAGCACCACAAAAGTTTAAAATAGCCCTTGTTCGAGACACTGGCAAATTCAAGATATTTAAAACAATTAATTGACAGAAAAATGAGAAGCCTTGGCTATTCGTAAATTAGAACCCCACTTATGTGTACATAAACAGTTTGTTGTAATCTTGAATTTGCCCTGGTAAACTTTAAGCCACTCTATGGCCTGCAGTTATGTGACAATTTCCTACCCTTTCTTACTCTCTCTACATTAAGCTAATTTTCTCTCACCTTTATTCGCAACTATCACCCTGTCTATTTGGACTTTTATTCAATTGACCTTTTATTAATTTCATATAAAATGGCTTTACAAGTATATGTGTGACCAGATTGTTCTAAATGTATGGCGCAAACACATCACATTCTTCAGATCAATTACGCCTTCTCATTGTTCTATCAGAATTCAAAATAGCACTCAGCAATTGGTTCCAAGTCTTTCACGATCTACTCAATGTAGAGGAAATTACCATGTTCAGTCGTTCGTCCAGTTTAGAGTCAGATTCCTAGCCATTAAAACACATTATCCATCAAAGTGAAATAGTATTAAAAAGTGTATTGTATTCAAAAACACAAAATTTTATGATTAATTTTCCTAGAAATCTGCTAAAATCAATGAGACAGTAATCATACTTCGGAATCGCTAAATTTATATCATAAAGTAAAAACAGTTAGTAACTTCAGTGAAAATGCTATCAATATATTATGTACTTAATAAAACATTTATTGTTATTATACGACAACATCGCTCATCGAGGTAGTCATTGGTCAGGACATGCCAGACGGACGCTGATTTTCTAGACACTAATAGTTAAATTGACTCCTCTGTGATTGTCACAAGAGGACATTTGTCCTTTCGTATAGATTGGAACAATCAGCACCATCCTTAAAAATCTCAGAGGTTAATCTATCAGAGCCCGCTGCTCTCCCTCACCTTAGATTGCCTATCACATTTTGAACCTCACTACGAGTCGGAGGAGTTGCATCAACTTGCTATACAGGTTGACTGGAAGTCGTGGGTAACAGAAATGTAGCTGGTCAGTCAGTCAGTCAGTCAGATGCAACGTAGAACTTCGTACGTAAGTACATCAGTTCATGTTGCCATACCACATCAGCACAGAAATATAATTGTCAATTCAAATCCAATAGTAGTAGAGGTAGTAAGGGAATTAGAAGTAATCGGAGAGGTTAGGGTTAAAAGATACTATTCAAGAAGTATGATTCAGTGAGAAAAGTTTAGAAAGTCAAAACTAGAGGTGTTGAAGAATCCAGAAGATTAGGATTTGAGAGAACACAAGGAATAAATGCACCAGCACCATTGCGAACGATTTTGAGCCATGTCATTCAAGGTCTCTGACCATCGATTATTATCATCTCGGGGACCCCAACCAGGTAGTCGACAATTACCGACATGGCTAAGTCCACTAGTCAATGACTTCATGGATTTCTGCCATGTTTTGGTCTGGCCGCCCTCACTTTCTTCCAACCTACTCCTACACTACAAAACAAAGTTCGTCGAGGCAGTCGGTGGTTCGGCATACGCAAGACATGTCCCAACCACCTCAACTGATGAAGTTTCACCACTTCATCTATTGATCTGCCATCCTTACCTAGTACTCGTTTCCTAACGACAGCATTGCTTACTCGGTTGTCCCACGGTATACGAGCAATGTTTCGAAGACACCTATGATCGAAAACCAGTAACCTACGAATATCTTCTACTCTCACTGGCCATGTTTCACAGCCATATAGGAGAACGGAGCGAACTGCTGCTCAGTACACTCGTCCTTTAATCAGCAAAAGGATATCTCGCCTACGCCATAAATGACGTAAATTGTCAAAAGCCAATTGAGCCTTCTGTATCCGTGCTGAGATTTCGTCAGTCAACCAGCCCATCAACACTGATGAGACTCCCAAGATAAGTGAAGCGGTCTATACGCCCAACTACTTCATTCCCTATCGCTAGTTCAGGTGCCGATACAACCTAATCTCGAAGCCACATTTTGCATTTCGACGGTGAGAACCGCATCCCGAACATGCTCTCGTTGTTGCTTAGGGTAGTCAGAATACTTTGCATTTTGTCAGCGTCTTCACCAAATAAAACTGTCATCAGCATATTCTAGGTCAATAAGCGAGTCTACTGCTAGAAGGTCCACTTCTGAAAAGTCAGACGGAGATAAAGTTAACTGTAAGAGCATGTCTACGACAAAATTAAACAAAAATGGAGAAAGTGGACACCCCTGACGAACACCACTTGATGTAGAGAATTCCGGTGACAGTTCGCCATAAGCTGGAAGCCAGTTCGAACAGTTTCCCCAAGCATTCTGCCTATCGATCCAATCTCCTACATCTAGAGTGCATATTAGTCCCGTCTTTCTGATACTATCCTACAGCGCAACGACACACACTTAATAACAAAGAGCCAACGGTGAGTGCGCGACCTATCCCAGTTCTTACGGTCCCATTTAGTCCAATAGCTTGGATGCAACTACCTACTGGAATCAAATTATTGTTTGGTTCTCTTGTAAAAATTTGATATCAACAGCTTGAAGCAACTGAAAAGTCGATTTTCTAATAGTTGACCTAAAATCTTAGATACACGATGCGAATGAAACTGAGAAAACGTATAACAAATAGTGCATTTGTTAAATCATAAATAGAATTCAAGATTAAAAAAACTTAGTTCTTTACATACACTTGTAGGAAGAGCACTAATCTTTTCAGCCAGAGGCTGCTTGCTCAATGGAAGGATTGGATAGGTCGGATGATAAGCTTCCACAGAGCCATGCAAACCAGCAGCAAATATACACCCGAGTGTAGCTTTTAAACCTCCGAAACCACGATTCCATCCAGAAAGGTGATTAGTCTAAATGACAGGATATTCGATAGTTAAATATATACACACAAAAACAGTTGAGTAGAACAATGAGTATTTAACTGTAAGATAAAAAGCGAAGCAAAAGCACGACCAAGTTGGATTGCAATAGCTTCATGTAGCTTCTGTTTTTTAACCCCTGGTCAATATTAAATCAGGGTTAAACTCGATACTCTTAATGTACTGATTTACTTATTGATATGATGCAACGTTTGGCGTCTGATAATTTAATACAGTCAAAATAAATAGGTGGAATAAATACTAGAATTTAATTGATTTTGAAACATCCACTTCTTTTAATTCACCTGTTTAAGCTGTCTTTCGAGAGTCTGTTCATTAAGTTTAATGTTCCTTACAATACAGCTAGCAGCAAACGTGTAAGCACTTAACAGTAGTATTTATTACTGAGATGACCTGGAAAAACCTCAACAAACTTATTTAAACTGCCACGTATCGAATAATCAACAATTCGGTAAAGATTCAACACAGCTCAGGTATCTGAGTCGATCGAAGTTTGGAATCTTACAAAACTCCATTCCTTTGGCAGTTAACATACCGAACCTGACTACATTATAGATCAACAGCTAGTCTAACTATATACCAATAGAGATTAGAGGCTGCCGAAAATATTATCTAATAGATCTAAATTCGAGAAGATTAAGTAGGATTTATTTGGTTGAACAAAACGAGCAGGTAAACAGTAACCTAAAGTTTTTTTATGTAAAAAAACCCGGCAAACTAAAGAAATTCTTTAAAAAAACAAATGAATTAGTAGTGATCGTGACTTAAACACAACTAACTGAAACTTACATATACACAATTGAGCTGATTGTTGCGGAGATCAAACACGTGAATCCGATTCGGTGGTTCAGCAACCCATAATTCATATTTATCTAAAAGAGATAGCTTTCGTGGATAACGAGTGAGCTGAAATGTAAATTTCCATGAGAAGTCACTATGGCTATCATATATAAATACGAAAAAATATTTAACATTTAAAAAATGAAAATGAACTCTAAAAGAGTACAGTTTGATTGCTATGACGCCTTAAATATTAGACTCAACAATAGTTTGCACCTAACTAAAGCTCGTAAGGAATGAATTAGAAAACACTAGGCAGGTTTCGGACCTAGAGACGTGGATACACAGACCATACATTCACACTAGAACACAGACACGCATTTCGGAAGCCAACAGTAGTTGTCTTCCTGGACCTTAAGACGGCATTTGACACTGTCTATCGTGATGTTCCGTGGCAGTGTTTGTCATTGGAAGGTGCACCACAGAAGTACATTGACCTTATACAGAGTCTCTACTCGAACATCACTAGACGAGTAACAGCTTATGGCGAACTGCCATACTACTAATAATTTCCTAATTTACTAATAATTAACAGAACATGGAATTCGGAAATGAAAAAAGGTTCATATGAATGAAACATTGAAGTAACCTGCTTGATAAAATTTAAAAAAACATTTCGATAAAATCGTTTTGGCTAGTAGCAGCGGAATCTACAATTTACGTTTTCTAGTTAGTTTATTTATTGGCATTCGAAACAAGTATATAATGAAAGTGATAAAGAATAACGATAGCTGTCACTCGTAGATCTGTCATTTATTTCTATCTGACTGAATATACATTTAATATCGGCAAAAGAATTGAATCGGATGGGCTTATGTTGCATCAACTTATTACAAGAACACCTTGACACTTATCAACTAGATCATGTCATTATTTAGGTGAAGTTTGGTGACTAAGAGCTTTCATGCATATTTATTTAACTATCAGATGCATGAAGAACCATAATACGGTCAATACTGATTGAAATGTGAAAGTATTCAATACCCTAGTAAGCTCTGCTCTTATATTTAGAATCTATTAACAATAACTACAGTATATGTGTAACTGCAACTGAGAATTGATTTATATAATATCAACATTTGGTCTGAATCTAGTTAAATAAATGTCATGAAATCAATCTGCATTTCCCTCATAGGCAAATACTTATACGGCTTTTGGCGTTTAGAAGTGTACGGGATACATTAGGAAATTGTGATAAAACTTCTGCCACAATGAGTGAGATGGCAAATTATCGACCCACCGGTTCACACTATATCAAAAACCAATCTGCTTTCTTCGCAAGACTGGACGATAAAAGATCCAACTATTGGGATAAAAATAAATTTTATCTTATTGCCAGGATTTATTAATTTCGTCCGGACAGAATTTGACTCGTAACTAAAGTGTTGAAACAGATGTTAAGAGTTAATTAATTAATCCAACTGAGCCATTACTACGGTGTATAAGGAAAGTTTTCGAACGGATATTTCTCACCTTATGTTTGTGAACGGGTTGAGAAACATTTCTCACATCCCAACCAGCAATGTATTGATCACTACTGCCTGTGATAATGTGGAAGTCTGAAAATGATTGGTTTTGTAAATGATTTGGGTCAGTAGATAGCGAATTAGTTTGTATATCTTGTTTGTCACAATTTATTTCGCCTAAGTTACACTTTACAGATGAAACAGGACTAGGTTGACCACTATCTAGAACAACACGTTCCATTTCGAATGGATCAATTATACAGTTATCAAAAGTTTCTTCACTTTCTGTTACAGATGATAACTCTGAGTTTAAATCATATTCTGCACACAGCTGGTTATACTTAACACCACCACCGCCAATGCACTTTCTTATAGTAGAAGTAAAGTTGCTTGAAACTTCAGAACGCAAACCATTTTCATATACGGAATCTATGCAAAGAACAGCTTTTTTATGACGCATACGACTTGGTGAATTTTGTTCAAATGCACGTATATCTAGTAGATAGACATCTCGATCATGTGTACCAACTGCCAAAGTATTGGAATCCAAAAAGCTTGAACACAGTACAGGAGTGCCTAATCTGCAAATAATAAATAAATGAAAATCAACTACAAATATTCAATACAACAATGATGTGACGACAGTGGATAGAACAAATTTACGAGCAGTTGTATTCTTATTATAAGGCGATAAATCCGTTGTACTAAATAACAAGCAGCATTTACGGATCATTGTGAGCAATTTAACCGTTAGATTATATACTGCAGAGTATGACTTAAAATTTGCCGTCTTTGAATCAGCAACAATAAAACAAGGGAAAATAGAAGGTACATAACTACCTGACAGTTGCATAATACGGACTGTACTCAGTACATTCGACCTTTAATCACCCTAAGTATTGTGCTAATTAGAACGAAATCATAAAACAGGAATAAAGTGACTACAAAAATCCGGTTATCAATTTTTATCCACCTGAAAAACTTTTAAAAGAACTTACTGGTAAATTGATTGGAATGCCAAGCCTGAGTTTGTCAACTTCCATACTCTTAAAGCACCATCCCATGAACCTGTTATGACATTATCATCCATTGAATTGATGGTCCATATCCAACCCTAAAATATCATGACCAAATTAAATGAAATACGGTACGATTTTAAGCATCGTAGGAGGTATTTCGTTTAATTACGCTGATATATGTATTACAAGATAGAAATTAACTAATTAATGGTGAAATGGTTTCATTTAAAATCCCTTGTTTAGAATAGAAATGATTGAAATGGACTATACGCTGCACAAGAAATGATTGGATTTTAACTCCTTAATATTCGAAATATTAGTGCACGATTTTCTGAGACTGTAAGTTGCTCTACAGCTATCTACATAGCTTGCATCATTTAAATTTTCCAAAGCCGTAGTATACATATTATTTGACTTACTTGTTAACTCGGCCTTCAGAGACTTGAAAGTCAAAGTATGATGTGCGAGAATCTAATTAGTCATTGATAATCGGTCGTCCAGCTGATCATCACAGGCTGAGACGCAGATAACGGTTGACATAGTAACTAATATGGTAGACAGAAACGGCTTGCCAACTACAGATTCGTGTAGTGGCATGGTTCAGAATCGTTTTCGATGGCGCAGGGTGCATCCACTCTTTATGTTTTCTCAAATTCTAACCTTCTGAATTCCTAATCATCTCTATCTTTCTTTTTCTAAGCTTATCTCACTTAATTATGCTTCTTGAATAATATCTTGAAGCCCTAATCTTCTCTGACTACTGCTAATATTTCTACTATCTCTACCATCATGGGATGTGAACAGACAATTGCGTCTCTGTGCCAATGTAGTACGGCAACACGAACTTATGTACGTTCTAATGGGTGGACAACATTAGCTATGAACATATTGTGGAGCGATAAGCACTGGGAGCAAGGAATGACAATAGGGAGAGACAGGTAGATCTATGCGTTTTCAGCAAGGTTAAGGGCGGTACTACTCTCTCCCAACCTGAGTTTCATGTAGCAACACAATATAAAACTAGATTGATCCAATATGCATGAATAAAGTCAAAAGATGGGGTAAAAGAGAGGACGTGGTATATTTTAAGAACATCATCCACTCTAACAGAAAACAAACCAGCTGCCAGTTGAGGAGTAAATCGGAAAAAGATCCTGTGGGTTAATAGGGCAAACTTTACGGAAACCATTATACCGTATCAAAAAGCAACTCCTTACTTGGAATGAAAAGATTCCGACTAAAGAGCACTTGACGCAGGGGATTGGAGGAAGGCAGCAAGACTATGAATAGCACTAGAAAACAACCAAAAAGGATAGCCCAAGATAAAGTTAGCTGGAGATCCCTGGTCAGTAGTTGACATACTAATAGAGGTAACAAGTTTAAGTTAGTATTATTACCTGGCTGATTAAACCGAAGTAGGTGAAGAGGAACTCGAACCGGAGAAAAGTCTAACATCTTAGCCAAGAAAATACTATATCACAACAAATCCCAAACAGTCTTCCTCATTTAAAACGATATAACTAGCTATTTCATTCATTGTGTTAGAAGAACATTACAGAGAGCAAACGGTTAAAATAAAGACCATTATATCCAATAAAATCCATTATATGCCCATTTAATTATTTTGAAGAGACCCAGAACAAATATTCGAAAAAAAAATGAATTTTTATCTCGTCAGATTTCTGTCAGCTACTTGCAACCAACAAAATTAACAAATCCACAACCTTATATTGACAATTATCATACACTCACTAGTGACCAGCTTCTTGAGGAAATTCTCGGAGATCTAGTGAGAAGCCGTGACCAGAAGAATGCAACCGTGTCTGGCGTGAGGCAGTTACCCACTGAAAACAATAGATGATGGTCGCAAAAAATCCTGGATTGATTGAAGTGAGACATTGACACCACTGGATGCCAGTTCAGTGGTCAAGAAATTACGAATTCATGAGTGAAACTGACAGTTTTGGATTCCATTATCGCTGGCGAGGTCATGTATGCTCACTGCTGAGAAGACCAATACTAATAAGAAGCGACCTTCCAGTGCTTCTACGTTCCCAGAGGTGGTCTAACGCTGATCAGTTTATAATTTTATTAAAGTTCAACAACCTATACCAGAAACAAATGAACTAGGCACAGCTCAGGTACTTAAAATGAAAACTACTGATCAAAGATGACAGTAAAAAAAGACCCGAACATAGCAGTTACCTTGTTATGGTGGTCGGACTTGCCTATCGTGATGATCCAACCGAGCTATATTAGCTGGAACATATGTTGCTGAAGGTTCTAGCATGCCAGGCAGGTCGATTGGAGAACGATGAGACTAAAAACAGCTACTCAAGGTCTGAGAGTGAAGTGGTACTGCCGACTGCAGAGGGGTGTGACAGCAGTAAGGTGTATCCCTCGGACAACCAGCATCTGCAGCGATGCTGCCTTCTCAGAAGTAAGGAAGGGTTAGAAAAGGTCGACCCTGAAAATGTCACACCTCACGGGTTTCCGTCTCCGGCGGTAAGGGTGCCCACTAAGGGCTTTTAAGAGCGGAGCTAATACTCAAAAATCCTTTCATAAAATGGCCGTGCGTGATCGGCCTCAAGCAGTTGTCCTTTCGACTCTGCGGTCACGCTCTCAGGTCTCCAAGACCAACACTAACCTACCTTCCTTTTCAGGTCCCTCAAGAAACACCCTTCCACGTTGTGGGCAGCCGGGAAGTGACAACCGCCCTCATACCCGTAACAGCACACGAGACCAAATTGGTTGAAATCAAATCCTTCCTACACCCACACATATCTCTCTTCTCTCCACAACTAACTCTACTCACATTCCCTTATCTGACTGCACCGCTAATGCAAACGATGCGAGTTCACGAAACGTCATTCCTGATCTCTTGAAACCCCGTACTAAATTACGGACCGCATCCCGAACATGCTTGCATTGTTGCTTAGGGTAGTCAGAAGACTCTGGCTGACTGACTGACCCTCGAAATGAAAAATGTTGCCTCGAGATTAGGTTGTCCAGTTTTAGCAGTTAGATTGACTGAGCCCTTAGGTAGATTTTGGGAACAGGGAGTAACTTCATCCACCTGGTCTCAATTCTTTATTGTCCCGGATTATAAAAACGGACAAATTTCCTCTTGTGACAATCACAGAGGAATCAGTCTAAATAATATAGTTTCTAAATTGTTAGCCTCTATCATACTTAGACTCTTACTAGTGCTCGTGAAGAGCATACAAGAGAACACCAGGCTGATTTTCGACCTGGACGTGGCTGTATAGACCACATTTTCAAGCTAAGACAGGTCCTGGAACACAGACACACATTTAGTCGTCCGATAATAGTTGTCTTCCTGGTCCTAAAGGCGGCATTTGACCCTGTTCATCGTGAGGACCAGTGGCAGTGTCTGTCATTAAAAAGCGTATCAAAGAAGTACATCAACCTTACAAAAGCTCTCTACTCGAACACCACTCTCCCAGTTCTTGTTTAATTTTGTCGTAGACATGCTCTTACAGTTAACTTTATCTCCGTCTGACTTTTCAGAAGTGGACCTTCTAGCAGTAGACTCGCTTATTGACCTAGAATATGCTGATGACAGTTTTATTTGGTGAAGACGCTGACAAAATGCAAAGTATTCTGACTACCCTAAGCAACAACGAGAGCATGTTCGGGATGCGGTTCTCACCGTCGAAATGCAAAATGTGGCTTCGAGATTAGGTTGTATCGGCACCTGAACTAGCGATAGGGAATGAAGTAGTTGGGCGTATAGACCGCTTCACTTATCTTGGGAGTCTCATCAGTGTTGATGGGCTGGTTGACTGACGAAATCTCAGCACGAATACAGAAGGCTCGATTGGCCTTTGCCAATTTACGTCATTTATGGCGTAGGTGAGATATACGTTTGCTTATTAAGGCACGAGTGTACTGAGCAGTAGTTCGCTCCGTTCTCCTATATGGATCAGAAACATGGCCGGTAAGAATAGAAGGCATTCGTAGGTTACTGTCTGCGGGGTAGGAGTCTGACTAATGCAGTACTAAGCCTTCTGATTGTCTTTATTGTAACGCCATCATCTTTGAATTTGAGATCGATAAATATTGGTTTTTTTATGGACTGTAGCTACATTCAAATTGCTGACCTAAGTTTCTAGTATACTTATCAATGAATTTATGTTGGCAGAAATTATTCTTCATATATTTTCTAACGTTCATCAATCGTTCTTCCAGTTTCCCAGTGGTGTATATCATCTCTAATTTTTAACAATGTTTTCTTATTACCGATTGCATAAAAACTAATAGAATTCACGTATAGATCATTATGAGTACCTTTCTCATAAAACGAACATTGAACTTCCCCACTCGCTCTCCTTTGCATGATAACGTCAAAAAGGCAAAACACGTTTCTTTTATGGTCCATAGTTAATTTTATGCTATGATGACCCTCGTTAAAAGGTTTTAACAGATGAATTGCATACAGTGAACGTGTCATTCATATCCCTCGAGTAATTTGTTGTTTCGCTTGTCGCTTATTTTAGGTTCGTTTTGTTCACGGAAGCATATGAAAATATCCACCAAAATTGGACTTTCATTGTTACACCGTAGGTTTGTTTGTGTACGGTGTCTTTAAACTGAAATTGAACATCTTTTGTGTCTATGAGTATCAGTCAGTGGAACTCTTGCATTGGTGAAGAAAGGAGATCAGAATGCCGATAATTTATGTCAACGATTTCAAGAATGACTATTTTGGAGAACGAACACGTTACATAAAAAGATACCAGTGACTTGCTGTGAACGCTTACATTGTTTAGTCTTTTAGTAAATTAGAGTGAGTCTTTTATAGTATGTGTTGATGACCGTTGACTAACTGGTCCCAGCTTCTTCACTAGTCAGTGTGCAACTTAGTGACATGATAGGGGTAAAAAGGACGTCAAGTTTACACATCTGTGATAAATATTACAGGCTGTAGGTATACGACAAAAAGCCTATTAACAACTGAAGTTATGTAATTCCTCTCTTCAAAACCACTACAGATTTTGAAGAACGGCTAGATTGTGTGAAATATTTTAAATTACATTAAACTATTTTGCAAAATAATGAAAACATGCAGAAGACTTACAGAATGACTATGATATTCAGTAAATACAGGAAGCCAAGAATTAGAAAATAGCCCATTCTTCAATGAAAATATTGATACCACTCGACCTCTATCACCCATTATAAGTAAATGTGGATGTTTCTACAATCAAGGTTGTTAGAAAAATTTTTAGGAATACAAGGGGAATATGTAAAGCATCAATCCCGTAGCTGACCACGTTTAACTTGGATAGACGGATGCAATCGGTTGAATTCTCCCCGAAATTTATACAGCACTTTTCTCGTTCAAAGCTTGCCGATGCCCAGTCTACGGCCTTTTCTACATTTGGTACAAATCAGAATACATAAATCAAATAACCTGGCAAACAAGGGTAGGTTCCATTCCAAAGACTTTGTGAACGCCATTTCCAATACGACTGCTGACCTAACCAGTGGCAAAACTGTCCACATACAGAAGATAGTGCCACAAGATCGTTAATCCGCAAATAAGAGCAAATTTGATAAAACAAATCTTGAGGTAAATCTCTGATTTCAACCATTGATTACAAACACAGCCAGAGATAAATAACCATTAATGTTGGAAGTTTCAAATAATGTTATCCTAAGAACAAATCAGACATGAAAATAAAACCCAAGAAGTAAATTTCAATAAAAACAAGACGATTCTGCACAAATTAAAAGCAACTCAAAAGAAAAACTTCATAACCATAGCTAAAGAACGCGGTGGAAAAGTTGAATGAAAAATATGCTACACTTCATTCATATAACGCATAATACAAATATTTCACAAATACTGATTTTATGCCACACTGTTCGAGTTATCTAAAAACCTGAAAGTGAGTACTCCATCAATCTTCGGTTTTAATTGTTTCTCATGAACGCTGCTGAGTCCATAATTAAAGTGGGCGTATCAAATGTACTAGCATGATATCTTTGAAGAATTCCAATAATCTTATAATAACTTTTCGGATTTCTTGTCTACAAAGAGAATACGTAAAGATATACCCTAGCCGAAAACTAGCAGTTGCGACTAACTTGGAAATTTTCTGACAGTAAGAATTCGGAAAAACAAAGACATTCGCCGTTGCCTCTTAGTTGTCTGTGCCTACGCTCCCACTAATTGTAGATCAGATGACGCAAATATGGAATTTCGTAAGGTTGTGCAATAATGTAGTAATAGTGGCTGGTGACTTCATTGTTCAAGTAGGTAAACTAAGCGAAACTGGAAGACACCTGAGTGGACCATTTAGTGTCGTGTCTCAGTGATCACCTGCTGCAAACATCCTCAGATAATCGCCTATTTCTAGGAAATACCAACGTTAAGCATAAGGGGAACATCTTTTAACATGGTGAACCCCAAAGTCGTCCCGACGATGGATTTAACTAGACCATATCGCTACCAGCCACTGACGTAGAGACTCGATCGAGGACTGTCGCTCATTCTGGAGCACGCGTTTAGATTCGAATCATGTTCTAGCAAGAGCATTTATCTGTCTACATCTTACTGGACGTAAGAAAGGCGCAGCAAGAAAACCACTTGTGGTTGTACTTAACGATAACAAAGCCAGGAGCACACTTCGAAAGCGACTAAAAATGTCATTAAGCCATATAGGGGACGCCAACCCCGAGGCAGCTTGAAATGATATCCAATAAGCTGTGGAAACAGCCGATGAGGTCAACCAAAAGGTTAGGCAGAAGCAGTAGGTTTTAGTAGCATCTACCGAACTGACAGATGCTCGGAAACTCATCCCACTTGGCTCTTGACATAATGAAGAGCAAAGATGATAAAAGCCTACGCAATGATCACGAACAGTGGTGGGTAGCAAAAGAAGAGAGAGGTGAGCGGCAGCGGCTATAGGCAACAACAAACAAATGTTCAGTTATCAAAGAAACCAACTATTATCGAAAATATCTCGCAAATAGATAGGACGGTTGCTCACATTGAGGAAGGTTATTTCTTTGGGAAAGTGAAAATGTGGTAAGATTGGTGTCAGCCAGTCACAACGTAGGACTTCTTACGGAAGTACATCACTTCATGTTGCCAAACCACATTAGCACGGAGACACATAGAGATAGTAGAAGAATTACGGTTAATGGAGAAGATTAGGACTCCAAGATATTATTCAAAAAGTATAATTCAGTGAGATAAGTTTAGAAAGACAAAGCTAGAGGTGTTGACGAATCTAGAAGATGAGGATTCAGGAGAACACAAAGAGTGGATGCACCTGCGCCATTGCAAACGATTCTGAGCCATAACGCTCAAAGTCCCTAGCCATCGGGGACTTCCGTCTCGCGGACCCCAACCAGTTAGCCTACATCTACCAACATGACTCAGTCCACTTGTCAGTGACTTCATGGATTTCTGCCATGCTTTGGTTTGGCCGCCACTAGCTTTCACCCAACATACTTCTACAACACAAACATAGCTCGACAAGGCAGTCGATGATTGGGCATTCGCAACACATGTTCCAACCACCTCAACTGAAGAAGTTTCAATACTTCATCAATTGGTCTGCCATCCGTACATAGTACTCGCTTCAAAATGGCAGCATTGCTTACTCGGGTGTCCCACGAAACTCGAGCAATGCTTCGAAGACATTTATGATCGAATACTAGTAACCAACGAATATCTTCTACTCTTATCGGCCATGTTTCGCACCCATATAAGAGAACGGAGCGAACTACTGCTCAGTACACTCGTCCTTTAATCAGCAAAAGGATATCTCGCCTACGCCATAAATGACGTAAATTGTCAAAAGCCAATTGAGCCTTCTGTATCCGTGCTGAGATTTCGTCAGTCAACCAGCCCATCAACACTGATGAGACTCCCAAGATAAGTGAAGCGGTCTATACGCCCAACTACTTCATTCCCTATCGCTAGTTCAGGTGCCGATACAACCTAATCTCGAAGCCACATTTTGCATTTCGACGGTGAGAACCGCATCCCGAACATGCTCTCGTTGTTGCTTAGGGTAGTCAGAATACTTTGCATTTTGTCAGCGTCTTCACCAAATAAAACTGTCATCAGCATATTCTAGGTCAATAAGCGAGTCTACTGCTAGAAGGTCCACTTCTGAAAAGTCAGACGGAGATAAAGTTAACTGTAAGAGCATGTCTACGACAAAATTAAACAAGAACTGGGAGAGTGGTGTTCGAGTAGAGAGCTTTTGTAAGGTTGATGTACTTCTTTGATACGCTTTTTAATGACAGACACTGCCACTGGTCCTCACGATGAACAGGGTCAAATGCCGCCTTTAGGACCAGGAAGACAACTATTATCGGACGACCAAATGTGTGTCTGTGTTCCAGGACCTGTCTTAGCTTGAAAATGTGGTCTATACAGCCACGTCCAGGTCGAAAATCAGCCTGGTGTTCTCTTGTATGCTCTTCACGAGCACTAGTAAGAGTCTAAGTATGATAGAGGCTAACAATTTAGAAACTATATTATTTAGACTGATTCCTCTGTGATTGTCACAAGAGGAAATTTGTCCGTTTTTATAATCCGGGACAATAAAGAATTGAGACCAGGTGGATGAAGTTACTCCCTGTTCCCAAAATCTACCTAAGGGCTCAGTCAATCTAACTGCTAAAACTGGACAACCTAATCTCGAGGCAACATTTTTCATTTCGAGGGTCAGTCAGTCAGCCAGAGTCTTCTGACTACCCTAAGCAACAATGCAAGCATGTTCGGGATGCGGTCCGTAATTTAGTACGGGGTTTCAAGAGATCAGGAATGACGTTTCGTGAACTCGCATCGTTTGCATTAGCGGTGCAGTGAGATAAGGGAATGTGAGTAGAGTTAGTTGTGGAGAGAAGAGAGATATGTGTGGGTGTAGGAAGGATTTGATTTCAACCAATTTGGTCTCGTGTGCTGTTACGGGTATGAGGGCGGTTGTCACTTCCCGGCTGCCCACAACGTGGAAGGGTGTTTCTTGAGGGACCTGAAAAGGAAGGTAGGTTAGTGTTGGTCTTGGAGACCTGAGAGCGTGACCGCAGAGTCGAAAGGACAACTGCTTGAGGCCGATCACGCACGGCCATTTTATGAAAGGATTTTTGAGTATTAGCTCCGCTCTTAAAAGCCCTTAGTGGGCACCCTTACCGCCGGAGACGGAAACCCGTGAGGTGTGACATTTTCAGGGTCGACCTTTTCTAACCCTTCCTTACTTCTGAGAAGGCAGCATCGCTGCAGATGCTGGTTGTCCGAGGGATACACCTTACTGCTGTCACACCCCTCTGCAGTCGGCAGTACCACTTCACTCTCAGACCTTGAGTAGCTGTTTTTAGTCTCATCGTTCTCCAATCGACCTGCCTGGCATGCTAGAACCTTCAGCAACATATGTTCCAGCTAATATAGCTCGGTTGGATCATCACGATAGACAAGTCCGACCACCATAACAAGGTAGCAGCTACGGTCGGGGCTAAGATTGGCGTTTGTTTTAGCAACCTGAAACCCTGACCGCAGAGCCCAAGAAACAGCTGCTTCACGCCGGTTGCGCACGGCCTTTTTATAGGCAGTCTTTAAGTGTTAGCTCGCTCTTTGAAATGTGATACCACGTTTAGGTAGCAGCTACGATCGGAGGACCCACTAACTATTCATTACGTTTTAAAAAGAGGTCACGGAAATTCCTAGTCAAGAGGAAGATAATGTTATGCATTTACTACCGTAGGCTCTGTAAAGGTGAAAACAAGAATTTGTGCAAAATACTGGCGAAATGGACAATAATACATAGATGACCGGTCGAATTCTCGTTGTTGTAAGTCCTGGTTATTAAACCCAGTTACTCTGTTGCTGAATATTCTACGAACATATTTCAAAACTAAATGTTAGTATATCTAAGATTTTAAACGATACTATGGAGTCCTATCCACTTACTTACTAGTGCTGACTAATTAGAGGTAGACCAATCGGCGTGCCCCAACACAAACCTACATGGCCCAAGCTTTTGTTCGAGCTAAGTTTTAAAGCGGGAAGACCAAGAAGACTGGATTCATTGCAACAATCCATTCAATGACGGACTAGTTAAAGTGACCTGAGCCGAAGATGGTAAAGTTCTTTGATGTTACAGTAAATAAATGTTGTGGAATCCATATTTTAAAAGAAAATATATTGAAGCTGTAAGTAGTTTTTGCTAAGAGTGTAGTTTCATCAAAGCAACAGAACTATACCAATCGAGGTGAATGAGTTTGTTTCACATTACTGCAACTAAGAGATACTATGCCCATGGTGTCCGTAGTGTGGATTGATATCAACACAACCAAATCTTCGAAGGACTGTAGGGAGGCAATCAATAATTTCACCATCAAAAACGAGGACATGGATTTAGTAAGAAAGTTCATCACCAATGACTAGAATTGAAGGTTTATGAGATACCCTTTCGGTAATTATTGGGAAGTGATGGTCTACACTTCTTGTTATGAACGAAATGAATGGTGGAGTCAAAATATGAAGCCAACCTAAGGGAAATCACAAGTAATAATCAGAATAAATTAAAGAACCACCCAAACTTAAGTAAAGTTATTGAGTAATAAATCAAGTTAT